GGTTGATTTGATAGAGGTTCCCTGGAGAAGAGGTTGAAAGGCTACCCTTCCTGAAAGCTTGAGCTTTGCCTGCATCTGCTTTCATCCTAACCATCCACTTGAACTGGGCACTTTCTTCAGAGCCACTTTTACATAAATTCTTGTCTCCAGATCTGTGTTGAGGAAGGCACCACCTCACCTCACCTGGGTAGGCACCACCTCCCGCAACCACGCCCCCCCTAATAATCTGTTTACCATCACCCAAAGGAGGAACTCCTCACCCTGTACTCACAAGCTATCCTGTGTGTCTGCCTCAGTAGCGGCTCTTGGAACATTATCTTGACACTGACACATATAATTCCATGGAAAAGGAAATTCCTAGGGTTCCAGGCAGACACTTGCTATTCTCTCCAAAGTGGGACATTTAGGTGACTTACTTTCTAGCTATTACCGAAGTAATATCCCTATAACTTTGCTTACTATCATAATTTTGTTTCTTTGGGGCTTAACATTTTCATTAGGATGTGCTCTACAAAGTGAGGAGTTTCATGACAGACCTAGTGGCCTCTGTGTGACTTTCCTGTTCTTCCTCTCCTGACTCCATGTGTGAGAGGATGCTTGTGGTATTTGTCTTTGGCTTATTTTGCTTCATATTATGATCTCCAGTTCTACCCACATTTCTTCAAACAGTACAATTTCATTTTTCTTTGTGGCTAAAACTCCATTGTGTATATAACTCACCTTGCTAATTTTTCTTCCCTCAGTATTTTAACTACTCTTCTATTGCAGTGCGGACACCATGACCCCAGCAACTTATAGAAGACTTTATTGGCCTTACAGCTTCAGAGGGTGAGACCCTGACCATCAGGGTAGGAAGTATGGAAGCCAGTAGGCAGACATGGCAGTAGCTGAGAGCTTACATGTTAAGGCAACCACTGTGGAGCAGAGAGTGAGTGAATTGGGAAACCTCCAAGCCCATCCCTCACCGACACACCTTTTCTGACAAGGTCATGCTTCCTAATCTTTCCCAACCAGTTCTACCAACTGGAAATCAGTATTCAAATGGGGCCTATGGGGCCATTCTCATTCAAATCACATTTAGTCTGGTACTTGAGAGAGTTTTCAACATCACTAAATCTAGAAACTCCTTCAGGTAATGCCCCAAGGTGATTCCAGCCCTTGGGGAGGTTGGTAACTTTAACCATCACTCCAGTACAAGCAGTAACCGGAGAGGCTATATCCTCTGACAGTAAGCTGCCACCGTATTTCACCAGACTAAAAAGAAAGAACAGGACCTCACATAGGTGTCTAATTGTGAGAAAACTGCTTTGAGAAGCTGGTGGCCATGAAAATCTATGTGCATGTAAACACAGAGGCAGTACTGGTGTGATAATTATTGTTGAGCCCGTTAACTCCAATACTATTTGATGATGTTGCAGAGCTTGTGATATAGCCATGCTTAACCCATAAACAAGACGGGAAAGTGTTGGTGGCAGTCCTCTTGCTTATGGACTGATTCCAATGTTTCTTCCAGAGGTTGGAAGAGGAAGGGTTGGAATTAAATGCTTATTATTGATAGACAATGCACCTGCCAATCCAAGCATATTCTTTTGGAAAACAATGGAGTGATCTTTTAAAAAATATATCTTATTATCATATATTAATTATACATATTTATACATATTTTCCTACATGGGTATGCTTTGATCATAGTTACCCTCTCCTGTGTCTCCTCCATTGCTGCTGATCCTCTTTCTCTTCCTAACTAGTACCCCTTCCACTTACTCTCATGTGTGTGTGTGTGTGTGTGTGTGTGTGTGTGTGTGTGTGTGAGAGTGAGAGAGAAAGAGAAAGAAAGAGACCCAAATGAGTTTAAATAGGCTGGCTTACAGGAGTGTGTATAAGGAGTTATGTACAGGCAAATAGATAGCGGTTCAGTGGCTGAAGAGCTGGAGAGAATGCCTCTGTTTCCCCAGAGACCATTACCTGCTTAGAGAGCCTCAAGGAGAGTAGGGACTCCACTTCCCTCATAGGCTCATGGTTTGGCAACTTGGTCCCCAGCTGGTGGTGCTGTTTGCAAAGGCCATGTTCAGAACCTTTAGCAGTTGGAAGCTTGCTGGAGAAAGGATGTCCCTGGAGTGGGGTTTCAGGATTTATAGTCTGGTCCTACTTATTGTTCTCATTCCAGACTACTGATGCACTGTGACTAGGCTGCCAACATGCTCTCCTCATACCTTTCCTGCCATAATCAACAGTACCATCACCTCTGGAACTCAGTCTGAGCCAAACCAACCATTTTGCCTTAAAGTTGTTTTTGTTATCACAGCAGCTGGCATAAAATTAAAGAAACTGCCCACTATATTAAAAAAAAAAAAAAAAAAAAAAAAAAAAAAAAAGCAGCTTTTCTGTGCTCCAAACTGCCAACAGCACTAACTAATCTCTTGGAGTGACTTTCTGGCATACCTTCATGGAACTAAGCTGTGTAATTCTCAGTTTCCTCTTGGTGCTCGCTTATCTTGGTTCAGGTTGACTTGGGTTCTGCTTGTAGGAAGGAGCAAGTGGAGGTTGCTATTTTTACTTCCAAAATGCCACCCCATTGCTTCAGAACCTTAAGCAAGGCCACATACACCAACCCGGTATTTGATCACATTAGATCAGCATTTGATGCAGACTCCAGACATAATGCAGTGCTGGATATAGTTGACTACTGCTGATGCCTAACATTCGTCAAAGTTATAAAGGGAGGGTAGGAACCAGAAAGTGTAAATGTTTGATAGACTTAGTGAATGATTTTTAAGGGCTTCCTGGGAGTCAATGGAAGTTAGAAATATCATTCCTATGAGCTGGCAGAGAAGGATTTGTCCATATGATGGATGACGGGGGGGGGGGGGGGGTTAAGGCCATCAAGAGGCAGCAAGCGAGGAAATGGAAGAATTTGTGCCTCTCCAGAGGAAGAAGAGAATGGAGAATCAGAAGCACGATCTGCAATGTGAACTCCATTGAAAATTCCCCAAGTGTTTTGAATTGCCCAGGCATTAAAGGGTGGGATTATGAAACATGATCAGTGGGTGGAATGCAGCACTGGTTACCTGTACACCACATCACTGGTCACATGTATGATCAAAGCACTGGTCACATGTATGATCAGAGCATTGGTTACTTGTATGGTGCAGAAGCATTACAGACACTGAAGTGACATTTTCCAAGTCAAGAGAGATGCTTTCTTAGTGTTCTTTATAAAGCTTTTGGCAAAACTTTAACTATTAAGGACCCTCAATCATTATCTGCTGCTAATATGAAACCATTAACATCATGGCTTCATGGTCTAGGGTCATCACACCCAGAGGTCTGCCTTCTGACACACTTGTCACAAAACCAGTGGTAGCCTAATGCTCCTTTCTAGTGTTATGTCACCCATTTCACTGCATACTGTACTATTTCGTGTAATTGCAAGGCTCAGTACAAGTCCTAATCACCTAGAAGTGCTAGGAGACACGGGGCTGTCAAAAAGCAATTAAGGTTAGGTGAGGTGATAAAAGTGGGCCTGGATGCTACAGGGTTAACTGTACAGTAAAGAGCTCACCTCCACTGCCTGCAACATCTTACCTGCAACCAATGAGAGCCCACACTAGAAATGGAGACCTTGGACTTGTAGCCCCTATGATACTGAGAAAATGGATTTCTGTAGTTGAAGTCACTCTCGTCTGTTATGACAACCTAGCACGGCTAAGTTTTGTTCAAGAAAAAGACATTTTTAATTATTTTGGCATGAACTGTTCATATTTTCTTAAATTCATTAGATGGCTGTCAGATACAGTGAATCATCCTCATTTCAGATATTTCCAATTAGCTCTCAAATACTCATTTGTCTAGCTATACTTTTATCAGTATTATTGATATCATTAAATAACTACCCCTTGGATTCTCCAAGTTTGTTTACATTGAACTGATTTCTGTCATTTAGAAAAATAATTTCCTTTCTGATACTTTGAATTCACTTCTGTCTCAAGGGAGAGACTTAAGCTATTCAATTGTTTATGTCTGTTTGAGGTAATAAGTTGTATTTTAACCTGTGAATTCAACGCATCCAACAACTGATGGAGACCCTAGTTTTGATGGCTCCAACCTCTGCATCCCCACCTGTTTACTCCTGTGAGGTTCTAGAACCACCACATTCACTGTAACTCACAGTCTGTTACTCTTATTAGTAGAAAGCCATTTGTTCAATATTTTGTCTGGTGTGGTTGTTAAAGGTAGTCTTTTACTTCATCACAGACAGTAGTCAGAACTTACTGTTTTATCACTTTTTTTTTTTTTTTTTTAAGTAAATGCTCTGTGTTGAAGATGGTTTGACTGTCCAAAGGTCCATGTGATGAAAGTTTGGTTCCCAAGATGGTAGTGATAGTGAGGAGGTGGGGCCTATTAGGAGGGCCTCAGCTTATCAGGGGCTCTTACAGATTATGGTAACTTCAAGCAAGGGTTACTTAAAAGCCCGAGCTCAGCCTCATCAGCTGCCTGGCATCATGTCTCCAGATGCACTCTCCTCTGCACATACTCCTGCCATTGTGAGTTCACCTTAAGACGACACAGATGAGAGACCACTGGCTCCAGTCTGACAAAATGGGGAACCTGTATAAGACCAAACTAGACTCCCTTATATAGGTGATAATGGTGTGACTGGGACAATATATGAGGCCACTGGCAGTGGGTCCAAGATCTAACACTAATGCACAAACTGACTTAGTGGAGCCCATTCTATATGGAGAGATACCTTGTTCAGCCTAGGCACAGGGGTGTGGGGGGTGGAGAGGTGCCTTGGGACAGACTTAGACTTCCTAGGGGAGGCCTTACCCTCCTCTCAGAAGAGCAGATGGGAGGTGGGGTAGGGAGAAGTCGGGGGAATGGGAGGAAAGGAAGGAGGGGGGACTGGTATTGGAATGTAAAAAATAATTAAAATACTAGAAAAACAAACAAACAAACACACAAAAAAAAAAAAATCCAGGGAAAAAAGATGACACATCTATTGAGAACACTGCTAATAAAGACAAATGATCGTATACTTCAGGTACATAATACAAATTTAATAGTATAAAATAAAAATATAAAAATCAAGTATTTAGCTTTGGATATTAGAAATAATATACATAATGAAGTCAATACAGTACAAGAGTCCATGTTTCAGATGACAGCTTATGCCAATCAGGCTGACTGGTAATGAGAAGCACACAGTTCTGCTATTATTATTAAGAACATTCAGACTGTATACGAGCCATGTATACTTGGTGTATTCTGAAACTATAACTGTTTCTCTATACAGTTTCACATAACTGAAACTATGTGACCATCATTGTAATGACATGGTTAAATCCTCATACTGAAAAAAATTGGTAACCATTTCCCATAGTAGTTACTAGATTGTCAAGGGTGCCAAAAGAGAAGGGCTCCTGTCTCCATTTTAATGCAGATGACACTGAGGCACATATATAAGAGGGGTTAAAAACAAAAGGGAAATTTTATGCTATATGCTAGGTCCAGGTTTAAATAATATAGCCTGATTTTTAGATACACCACTTCTGGTCTATAAAAAGAAACAGAAGAAATGAAGGAACTTTTAAGTATCAGGGAACAACTTTGTTATTTTTCTATAATCAAATCTTTCAATGATTTTTTTAGGTTTGTTTCCACAGCCTGTTTCCACCAAGCTAGTTCAGATATTCAGTGGTTGAAAAATGACTTGGGAATACAAACTTCAAGGCTAAAATTTCATCTTCAAAATGTAGAGATTTGAATAGAGCCCTTGACAAGGATTATTTAATGTAGAACTGCTAGCCAGAATGAAAAACTCCAGACAGAAAAAGAGTCATGCTGAAACTTCAATAAACCCAAAGGCGGGCCTTTTATGACATGGGCTACTCCTTCAAGAGAAAGATGGCTGCTAAAAGTAGTTCCTTATATCGTGATAAATTTCAACACTATTAATTCCAGTTCCCAGTCAATGCTTTGGTGGGATGATTTAAAGACATATACATTCAATAGGAGTCTATAGGAGTCAGCTATAGAATCCAATAAAAAAAAATAAAGTAGATAAAATGTAAGAAAAAAACCACACTTCTCAATCTTTTCATGCATTAAGTATGCCCATCTTAAACCTGGTATTTCTCATAAATAATCTCTATTTTCCAAGTTCAAATGTTTTCATATAGTTGAATATTAGAGAATGTCCTGAGGATTATTCATCATTATCTGCAGAGAAAAAGAAAAAGAATTAATTCACTTCTTTTTAATTCAAGCAGTATCTAGCTTTTTTTAAAAAATGTTTTCCTCTCCAAAGGAGATCATTAGTTCAGTTTTTTTCATTAATTCAATTTTAAATGTAATTTTATTATAATAGCGCATATGCATTGTATAACATCTAGGCAATATTATACAAAGTGTGAAGGTGGAAATAAAAATGATCAAAGACAACTAATGTTACAATAAAGTATTTATAGATCTTCAGATCACCTCCTGAAGGACAATTAACTCTAAGAACATTAGACCAAGATGCAGAATTGAGACATGAACTTTCCACATAAGACACAAACAGAAAGATTAAAGAAGTACAAGTGATAAGAAAAAATATCATAAATGCTCATGGTAGAGTCTCTGCAGTGGGGATGCCAGACTCACTATAAAGTTTTCAACTTTTGTATACAGTGAAGTCCTCACCACAGAAGAATATTGTACAACAAATGATGTATATATTCTATGTGAGCTTCAATGTCTGCACATCATTCCATTTTATGAGTATGGCATAATGAAATTAACCATTCTTACATTAAAACCACAAGAATGTTTATCCTTAAAACAGCATTGTTGAATGAAGTCAGCCTGTTGATTTGCCTAATACTGCCAAAGGACACTCTTTTACATCCTAGGAAATCCGAACCATCATGTCAAACAGTGCACTCTGTGCAGACCCTACTTCCTACTACTCCCTCAGGGATGAATATGCCTGTAAGGCTTTTCATCATCTGTAATGCAGATCATGACACTATTTTAAATATCCCCAGTGTTAGTTCCGATCTTGACTCACTCCCCTACTGTAGTGTTCTGCACCCTTCTATACAGGACTGTGCATAACAACTCATGACAAACTGCTATTCATCTCGAAAACCCAGCTTTGATGCCTTCTCCTTTAGGACCCTCCCTAACCCTGCCACCCATCAGGACTTCAAGTGACTTAAACATATTTTCATTGTCACACACCACTCTCTACTATAATTTACTCACTTTACAGCTATAAATTGCTTCAGATAATCAAGAAAGCAATGAACACACATATGTCTACCCAGCATTGAGAGTTAACTTTTGGTTCTACTGATTTTGACATTTAAGTAAAAGCATATTACAAGCTGTATACCTTCCCACTTTAGTGACCTTTTCTTTTCTAGGGACATTTTTCAGCACATCCAAATTAATGTATATTCTTCTTGCTTATACTTTTTCACTGCTATTAGACATATGCAAAAGTAGGTAAGATTGTTTCAGATGTTATATAAATAGTATCACATCTGACTTATTTAACTTAGGCTTGTGGGCATATGCATATTCATAGCTGGAGATTTGGTTCATTCACTTGAATAGCTGTACAGAATTTCATTACATAAACACAATATAACATTACATCTAGGATGGATGTGAAGGGAAGGGATACTGAAACAAATTGCATGCTTGGTCTGCTGATGCTCAATGGAGAACTTGGTGGTCTATGCCAATCTACCATTGGCCACACTACATTCATTCAATTCTCCTCGTGAGGGAACTCCTAGAAACAGTTTTAAATAACTCACAAAATTGCTACCTGTCTGACTTCTGACTCTACAAAGCAGTTTCATATAGGCTAGTCAGTGTTAATTTACCACCAGAGATAGTTACTAATGCTCCCAAAACCTGCACTGTAATAGTACTGAAGAACTGAATGGTAGGTTTGGGGGGACTTGATAATTTCCAGGGAAATTCAACAGAAATGATATTAGAAGGTCATTTTAAAAAGTTAAAGTTTTGTTGGCAGTGTGTTATACACATGTGAGCAGGCAGGTGTGCAGGTCCACTGTCTATGTGGACGTAAGCACAGACCACTGGCTCATGTTGGGGTGTTTCCCTCAATATCTTCACCTCACTTTTCCAGACAGTCTTTCAAGGGAATCTTCTTTTTAATATGTCTCATACTGGTTTATCATCATTTTGAATGAGGTAAATCACATTTTACCATAGACAATAAAAGTATGTAAGCACCATGTATAAGAGATGATTTATCTCCTAGATAATATCTAAAATACAACTATACATAAGACAGCTTGATTTGAGATCCATTTGCTCCATACAAGAAGGGCTCCCATTATTCCAAACCCAATCACTGTCTAGCACTTAACTGTCTAATGTTTATCGTATCATGTTAGCTTTTACTCAGATAATGTATTTTACATGTATTTATTCAGTAGCTATATTAGAAGTTAAAATATGCTATAGGACACACTAAGCAGTTTGTTCTCTCTTGTCTTTTGTTGAAGGCAGCCACTTGGGTTTAAAACTGCTTTACATTTTCTCCCCAGGCAGAAGAGAAGACAGCCAGGCTCTGAGACAGTGAGCGCTGTGGTTTCACACCTGTCTCCACTGCACACTGCAGCACACTCATCCTGTTTCTTGAGGGCTGTATGGCCCAGCCTAGCTTTTGGTCCTTGTAGGTGAATGGGCTTCTATGCAGTCAGGCAGCCTTTAGAAACCACTCGGCTGTACCAATCCTACCTTGTGGCTCAGCTGATTGTCACAGTTCTCCACTGAAGGGGCAAAGCAAGAGAGAGGCTTTCCAGACACTTAACAAGGAGCACTACAGCCCGAGCACACTGCTGCCGACTCCTGTGAAAAGCTCCATCGAAACAAGACTCGTGGAGAGCTGCCTGAAGGACCAGTCTGAATGAGAAAGAACTGGCTACATCTTGCCTCAGATTTACTGAAATAGAATCATTCTCTGGCCTTGTGCCGTTAGCTTACACAATGACATGAAAAATAACCTATGAAATCCACATGTAAAAATCACAGGCTATTTCTCACTTCAGTGAAGCAGAGCTGGGATATAAGATCTCAATAGAATCAGAACCTGTGAGTTTCAGACAGTGGTTAGTTTAGAGACTTCCATCTTAATGATCAAGCAATCGCTTGTCATTTCAGAAAATAAAACACCTGTTTTAAGGATATTTTCTTAACCTTTCAGTCTGTACTGAGATCTACAGACCTTGGACTCTGTTGTGCCAAGGGGAAATAACCCTTCCTCCCCTCAAGAGATCAGTATTAATATGCACTTTAAGGAACTTATGGTAGCTATCCAGGCATGGTGGTCCAGGAAAAGGCAGATGTTTGATGTTATCCTAGAGTACACAGCAAGACATTATCTCAAATAAGAACAAAATCAAGAGAAAACAGGTCACTGAGAATGGTTTCCATACCACAGACTGCTGTCCTTTAGAGACCTAAGTGTGCTTTGTCCCATGGCCTCTCTGGCTCTACTAGTCAGGGTTCCTGTTTACTGCAAAGGTATTCCACCTTTCAGAATGGAGACCTTCTAAACATTATTGTATTTTTACTACACTTCTTGTTTTGTGCTTCTTTATCTAATATGATGCTTTCTCAAATACTTTGATAGTTTATTTTTATTTTTTACTTGGATGTATTTTTAAAAATTACCTTAATTTTAAACAAGAGGGAATATAAATATATTTTTAAGAAAAATTACATTGTTAAAATTAAACATCAACATTAAAAATCCTTAATTTTTGCCTATGAATTTAATCTTTAAATTAATTATATTAATTTTGGTAACCATGTTAGAAATAAATTCTTTGAGGGAACTGGGATTGGCATGAAAAATAAGCTTGTTTCAAATTTAAATAAAAATATTACCAAAAAAAGGAGAAATAAATTCATGTTCAGAATTTTACATTTTTTCCTCTACAAAGAACTTTAATGGTACATCATGGTATGTTATTTTAATTTCTAGAGCTGTTGAGTTTTCAACTAGGAGACTTAAAAATTTTTACTTAAGGGATGGAGAGATGGCTCAGTGGGTAAGAGCACTGGTTGCTATTGCAGAAGATCCAGGTTCAATTTCCAGCACTAACATGGTAGCTCACAACCATCTGGAATGCCAGTTCCAGGGGATCTGATACCCTCATACGGCTTTTGTGGGCTATGTACACAAAAGGTGCACATACATACATGTAGGCAAACTACTCATACAATCCAATAAATAGATAAATAAAGCATTAAAATTCATTCAAATGTTACTTATGAACTAAAGGGCAGTGACTTAAAGAACCTAAGGCAATAAAGTCTTGTGACAGGACAGTAAATTTTACAGCTGCTACAAAGAGTCAGACAGGCTCCAGTACAGATTGCATCAAAGCCCATTTGATAGGAATGCCTCTTGTTACAAGTGTCATCTTGTTTTGTTTTGTCTCACATTTGTTTAAAATATGAAGAGATAAAAAAAAACTTTACCTTCCTGATAGGCTCCATCTGCCATGACTAAATGCAGAATCTTGGCATAGAGATGCTGATGTTCACTGCCCAAAATATTCTCAACTATTGTTGAACAAATTTCAATATTTTCGTCTTCATCCTCGTGAATAGCCTATGCCAAATTACCAAATGTAAGTTAATATGGAAGCTGCTAAAGAAGAGAAACAATAACAGCCTGTGAACCACAACAATGACTAGCACAGCAAGCTCTTCTAATTGTACAATAATGGCACATACATCTTGGTGGTAACCAAGAGCTGTTTAACTAGGACTCAAGGCCTGTTTAACTTTGGGGGCCTGGTGTCATGCCTGGTACTATAAACCAACCTAGCCACTATAAGCAGCAGGTGAGGTCAGGGATTTTAGAAGAAAACCCACTGCTGCTACTTTGACTCCCAACTACATCAAAACACTTCCCATTACACTCACAGGTAAGTGTAGATCTCACCCCTCAACAAAGAAGCTTATCTTTACAATAGCATGAGATCATTACAAAAGCAAACACTAATTAAAGTGAAGAGAACAAATCATCATGGGAAACCATGTGATACATCTGTGTATTCTTTTATATGTGTATATAACAACAATGGTTAAAGAAGAGGCTTCGAATTTGGGAGGGGGCTCATACGGGAAGACAGGGAGAAATGACGCAATGAAATTGACGCACCTTTACTTTCTCATAAACCTCAAAGAACTTTTCAAAGCCCATTTCTTGCTCCAGGTGAAGTCTTAGTTCCTCCAAATGGTTAAAGAGACTGTCATATTCACATTCACTAGTTGTCTCACCATCACTATTATCTAAAAAGAAAAAAAAAAAACATTCTTTATAATTAAAAGTAATTCTCACACTAACAGAACTAACAGAGTAGCATCAATGACAAGTGAGTTATGGCTTCTTGTACTCTTCTACCTTCAACAAAAGCAGTCATCACTATGGCATCTGCCCATCAAAGCACATAGAAAGCTTTCTTGCCCAAGAATCTTACTTTGAGAATTGTTTCTTTTAAAGAAATAAAAAGTAAATCAGGCTATGAAGAAAGATTCCCAGGAACTTCACTTCTAAATGTTAGTTTGGAAACAAATGGAAAAAGTGTATTTTTAAGTAGCCAAACCTATCATAAAGGATGATAACAGGAAAGACATGCAGAACACAGATGAGCCAAGAGGCACACTAAAACTAAGTTATCATCTTTATTACTAGAAAAACAAGTCAAAAAACGGAGAGCAAATACCAGAGTAAAAATGCTTCACGAGTCACTGCCCTAACTCAACAGGAAGAGATGTGAAACTTACACTTGTGTGGAACACGCAGTGAACACAGGAACACACTTTAGCTTTAAAGGAGCCATGGCCACGTCATATGTCAGAAAAAGACCCCTACTTGAAAAGTCTGAGCACAGAGAAAGAAACAGGCCCACAGCCAAGGGCATGCACCTGAGTGCCATTCCTCATTGAGGGCACTTTCGCTGCTGGGGTTGTCCTCCTCATCTGCCGCATCTGTCCCCCTGGCTGTCCGCTCCATTTTGCCACTTTTTAAGACAGGCTCTTCCTCCTCCTCACTGTATCCATCACAAGGCTGCTCCCTAAGGAGCTGCTCCATTGAGGCCTGAAGCTCTTGTAAATCTGTGTCAGTTTCTTCAAACACACTGGAATTTAAAGAATTAAAATGAACATTGTCTAAACTTGAATTTAATTTGAAATGGTACTTCAACTCAACACACGCATATGCAGTCTCTCCCAGTTAGAAGTACTTCCTAACTGTAGATTAAAAAAAAGTTTTTAGCTAAGGAAATGAGGGTGAATACAACTGAGAAATATAGAACATGAGGGATATTCTGAAACTCATAAACTAGAAGATCATTTGCTTAAATTGGTCCTATATCTACCAAGGAGTATCATGTGCCTATTAGCATTGGTCACTGCCTAAACTCTGAAATAATGTTCTGTGTCTCTCTGTCCCAGCCATAGTTGGAAAATTTAAGAAAGCAAAGATGTTTATCATTTGTTTTCTAAAAAATGAATTAATATTCAAATGTTTAAAAGAAAATTTGAAAGAAACACGTACTTTGTCATGTCAGTTCATCCGATCTTCATGTGGATACTAGCTGTGTAGTATATGCACAGATTTCCAAGTGAAAGTATTTGAACTTGTAAAGACATGTAGTCAAGGTTTTGTATAGTATTTGTATTTTGGTTTAGGCTAATAGGATGATGATACAATAAATACAATAATCACCAGAAACTTCCCTTCTGTGCATAGTCTTGAAAACATTTCTAAAATATGTAAGTAGATTTTCCCAAGAATAAGCCAACTACCATAATCCTAACAGGAGAATCTTGTTTTCAAAGCATTAGTCAGCATATAAATTCTATTTTTGTGAGATTTAAAGCATGTAAAACATGAAATTATACAGTAATAATATATTTGTATAGTATACTGGTTTACTAAATAGTTTCATCCTATTTTTAAATTTTATCCAAACAAAACTCATGTTAAGAGATATGAAAACTGTAAACCAAAGTATGACATATCTGGAAGCCTTGTCAGTGAACAGCAAACAAGACCGACCTCTGTCCTCGAGTACTTCTCCAGTATCTGAGAAACATACCAAGGCTGGTCCCTGAGGACATGTCTGCAGACAAAGAGTTCTTTTAGAGTCTGATGTGTGAAGACACCTGCTCAGGGATGTCCCTAGGGAGAGGGCTTCATCTACTAAAAATGCAATCTAAGTTAGGCACAGAGCTGATGATGTCCTCTCCAAAAGTTCAGACTCAACTCTCAAATGCAAATATCAAGTGAGACCTTGAAAACAATTTACATTAAGGGAAACAGAAAATATTATTTACATAGAAATTACCTTTACTTGGTACTTAGAATACTAACTAGCAACTGGAGTCTGTGGAAGATCCAGAAAAGGACCTGACCAGAACAAAAGTCTTTTGACTTGGTGTGTAATGACAAGTCTAACTCATGTACCCTTTGATGTGGTGACTAAATATTGACCTCTTGTTAGCTTGAGTAAACAACAGCATATGGGAGTTAAACAAGTGAGGCTAGCCTGACTGCCTGAGAATATTCAACATTTTATGAAGTCAGCACTTAAAATATGTGTCAGGTATATGAATCTGGCCCCAAGCTTAATTTTTAGTCAGCTTTCCCATTATAACATCTTGAGAAAGATATGGACTAAAATCAGTTTCCAATGACAAACAACAAGTAAATACAGAATAGCACTTTAGGAATAATTTAGTTACAGCTGGCTCAGTTAAAAACTGTTCATTTTACTTCTATTTGAGGAAAACCTTCCACAAAACCCATTACCTAGCATTTTGCAACTACATAGGTGCTGAATGTTGTGTTCACCAGGCAGCCTACTAAAACAGAGGACTAAAGCAACTTTCTCCAAACCACTGGGCCCCTAGTAAGAACCCACAGGTCTCTATGAGGACTGACGAAGTAATCATGTCAGGGGCAGCAATCCTGACTCAGCTGGGCTTCACACATGGTGAGCTCATCTACCTGGGGAGCTCTCTCTCCACCCCCTGCATCTGCAGCATGGGACTCCAATACTGTACTTTCTCTAGCCCTTCATTACAGGATGCTTTGGCTTTGTTGCCCCCAAGTGTGTGATACTTGTCTGAGGTGCTTGCAAGGTTAGAACTGAAGAGGTCAAGGATTCTTGTCTGAAGCTTGGCCAACATTTCCCTTAACTTCCAGAGATATCGTTACATTTCCTTCCTGAGTTCTACAATCCATATGAATCACAACAAAGAAATTTTGTGAAAACAATAAAGTTACACACACACACACACACACACACACACACACGGTTACCCTGTCCCACTCCTACATAAATTACACAAATAAAATAACCAGTCTACTTCACCAATGACCACTCAAATCAAACATGTCACAAAGATAGACATAACACTTCCAGGTATTTTCCTAAGGAAATGCAAAGTATTTAATACTTCCTAATTTCCCATCACAATCCTAGTATAATGGAGATTGCACCATTCAACAGCCATTATCCTGTGAAAATTGATCATTCAATCACTATTTAGTAATTCTGTACTCTAGTCACATCACTGTACTAGATGGATATCAATGGGAAAAACAGACAGTAAACACAAAAATAAACAATTGAGATAATAAATTATTTAGAGGCAGGCATACATTATCAAGAGGCTAACTATATTTAACTGGTTGTAAGAACTTGAGTAGTGAAAAGCCAGCTGTAGGTCATGCTATCTGGATCCTTCAAAATCTCAACTCAGATGTCACAGTGATACTTTCATCTGTTAATTAAAGTTTACACTCACGTGTCTTCAAAATCAGGACCTTCTTTAATGTGTTCATCTTCAAGCTCCTCTATTTCAAGACTGTCTTGATGAATGTCTCCTACAGTGGGAACGTCCATCAGGGTTCTGAACAGCTTGGAAAGATCGGGAAGTGAACACGTCCTCAGCATCTACAGAGAGGTTGACAGATTGCTTATTAAGAGGGAGAATTAAAAGTAAAAGGAAAAAAGTCAGAGATAATACTAATTACAATATTTTAATTATGCATTAAGATTTGGAGGATTCAAAGGTGACTTGACTGAGATTATAACTTAATTTCCTCAAAATATGGTTCATAGAAGCAACACTAAATAGATTCAAACATGCATATGTACATGTATGTACCAATAATAATTGAAGACGAGGTCACAAATTTGAAAGGATGTGGGAATACATGGGAGGAGTTGGAGGTGAGGGAGACAAAGGGATAGAAATGATGCAAATAATGTGAATAGAGCACTCACTTAAGAAATTCTCAAAAAATTTAAATTAAAAATTCAGCTATTTTTTTCACAAAGAAAACTAAACTGAGTAATGATTAGGCTTTAGCACAGAAATTCACACCGGTCACCTTTTAAAGAGCAGGAGTTGTTATTGTAATGACACACATGGCCTGGACATGTAAATCTGCTGGGATTCAGGCAGTATGAGAAGTGCCCCTTTGTTCTTTCTCTCCCATACTGTAGTTCTCCCACCTGGGGTCAACTTTCCTCATGCGGACTTGCTGCAAACTGAAGAGAACTGTCTGGACTATGGTGAGGAACCATCGTGTGCAATCGGCAGCCTGTGCATCACTTACTCCTAGGAGTTGCTGGCTAGCTATGTGTGTTAAAGCAGGGACCTTACATCAGTGTAAAGATAAACTTGACTTTGCCTCCTGAGAATGGGACTATAAAGACAAGCTTTGAATCTTTTATAACACCACCAAGAAGGAACTTAAGTCAACTGCACTAAGAAAAAACACATCCAGTAGAGGTGCTGAAGACTGAAATCAGTGTTGGACAAGAGCAGGAATAAAAGGAAGAGTCTCTACTTGCCAACCTTTCAACAATTAGAATATGTCAGACAGGACACAAGACAAATAACTGTATGCACAAGTCTCTAAAGAAGCCTGAGAGTGAAATCTGAGAACTAGGCCCTGAAAAGAACTCAGTGTTAGAGGGAAGGAAAGAAGAAAACACAGTGCTTAACATTAATGGAAATTTGCATATTTGGCTAATCTTATTAGTACAACTTTTTCAGAATAATAAAGAACAGATTCCTATTATTTGAACATAGTTTATATATTACAGCAGCTAAGAGGAATGAATATTAGTTACAAACTGGTGAAACTGGCAAAAATAGTTACAGGAAAAAAAAAAAATCCTGCTTGCTAAAGTCCTGAATATTGGCAGCCATTGCAGCCTAACTTTATGATTTAAATGGATCTTCATCTTTATCTACAGTGAAAGCATTATATCAAAACATCTCTGTTCTCATTATTTTGGTGCTAAGGCTGTGAACATATTATTCCCAGATTATACCCCTGAGGTCATAAATTTTCTGTTTTGAGTCTCCTGTTCTTTTCAGATTGTTTAAAGTATATTTTATTGTCTTAGCACCAACTGAAAGAAATCCTAAAAATACCAGGTAATCCATAGCATTGCTTGAGAGCTTACTTCATGTATGGTTTCCCCTCTCTTCATACCAGAGGGTATATGGCACTGTCACAGATTCAAACAAGAGCAATACTTTAGGGAACCTTACATTCCAAAATAGTGTTTCTGTAAGTATCAATTAACCACCCCCAACTCAAAATCATGAACCACATAAAACAGTGAATGAATTAGGTGCTACTCCTATTAGTAACACCACATCCAATTCTACATCAAAGAGTTCTTTTAATGTTTACGGGTTTTAATATAAACTATGAATCAGTAATCCTTTAGCTATACTATGAAGTAGTTTATTATGGGTACTTTTTGTTCAGTGTCTGATTACTACCATAGATACTTCAACACTGTTCCTCAAAACAGCTTTTACAAATAACTGCTCACTGTATTCAAAAGCCACATTATATCTACTACTTAAAAATGGATTCCAAAGTAAAAGGACTGGCATGGAGTCAGGGAAAAACAGTTCTAACTTTCAGGGTCCTGAAACTGGAGCTAAAAGGGATGAATGAAGCTCACGCTGCACACTCTAAGGCTGACTGAAGGACTGGTCACTGCGATAGAATCAGTCAGAATCCCTAGCCAACTGAGCAGAAACAGGACTGATGCTGTGGTTGTCATCTATCTGACTCTTAGGCTATCGTTTTCCTCCCTCTTTTTTTTTATGTATGCCATGTTAAAGCTGCAAATTTGAAGAGGAGTTATGACGAATTTGTCTACTGCATACCTTTAGTTCTCATTATTATTTTAGAAAATTCATGGGAGGAAATACATCAATAATTTTCCCTGACAGTCACAACAAATACAAAGTTTAGGTTTTCCTCTCTACAAGTATTTGTTGGCATTGCTTGATTTGAAAGCAGATTTCCTATCTGAAAACCTCTGGGGATTAGCTTTGGTACTTATGGCTATAGGGATCCACTATGTGGCTGTGGGCAAGTTGTTTTTGTGTGAGATGGGGTGACAACAATATTGCCTGGGTGATTATGAGTATGAGATTATTATGCTGAAGCTGCTGGAACAATATTGAGGATACTGCACACACACATGGTTGGCAAAGTTGACTATCCTATATGGACAATTAGTTTTATACATTTATTAGCTCTTTATAAAAATCAAAATAGGCTGAGTTACTTCTCACGTGATAACTAGGAACAGTGAGTGGCTGTTTTCTAATCCTAGGTCAATTATTTGCTTGAATTTTAGTGACTTAGAATGTTCTAGTAACAACAGAAAATGAAGAATACTCTGCATTACTCAAAAAATATATGGTCTTCCCCCCCCCCCCCACAATGTAGGCATGGACAAGATAGCAATTTGGTACTTCATTCTGTCAGAGTAAAGTAGAAAACTACATTAGCAGTCTCTTTTCACAGCTTAACTTGATGCTGCCCACTAATGCTATAGAGTTGTCTTGTTTAGTGTTTACAAGTGTATTTGACAAAGTGTTCATAATAGCAGTTCATCATAAAGTCATCCATTGGGACATCACAACTGATGTTCTCTGAAAACACTGCTACTATTTCTAATAGCAGAGGAGGTGACATAAAGTGATTAGACACCCCAGAAACAGCCAGATCAACTGTACATGCCAAAGGTCTGTATATCTTTCTCTGTACTCTGTCCAGATATACTAAAGCAGTGGTGAGGCAGAATTCTGTATCTTAAACACTCCATATCATGTTTGTGTCAAAATGTTTTTTAGAGTGAATACTCTATTGTTAGAAGACAAACAATCACTGGCAAATGACAGACCCTTCTATAAAGAAGTCTGACTAGAAATTCCTCCACTGTCAACAAAGTGACTAGTCACTTATGCAGGCTAGTCTTGGTGAAATTAGTCAATTTCTATCACAGTTATTAACCTTATCATTTCCTCACGTGCTGCCTACACACACATTCTGTGAACCAACCATATACACATGCTCTTGCAGGACCACACAGACTAACCACTGTTGTGAATTACACTGCAAAACAGGCTTGTTGGAAAGGCAAGGGGTCTGTTACTCTGGTAACCCAGATTCTGTAACTTAGAAAAGCAAGATTGTGAGAAAACCATACTTTATTTTATTTAGAATTTTTGAAATTTTCTGTTGGAAATCTCCAGTTACTGTTATACCCATAGTTGTGCCCCACCCCCAAACCATTGCATTTAATTACCCAAGTCTGTTTCTCTGTTTGCAGAAGAGACAGACTTGAAGCCATCACTTATTACCAAATCTAAAGGAGCCAGCTAGGTGTGGTGGTGTACACCCGTACTTGACAGGCATAGACAGAGAAGTAGAAAGCTTGAGGCCAGCCTGGGTAGAAAGTGAGGCCTTGCACAAAAAAAAAAACTTCCAGAAATCTTTACCAGAGGAAAAACCAAGAAAGGCTTTCCCCTAAACAACTCATATTTACTAGCCTCAGAAATATGACATGGTTTGTAACTCTCATTTCACTTTGACAACATAGATAAATATTTTACTTATTAACATTAACGACTATTGTAATAGTTGCTAATGGCTTGCTGATGAATAACACAGCGTTAAATACAATTTATGTATTTGGGTATACTTTTCTACTTGTCTGAAGCATTGTATGAGTAGTGTAAAAGGAAGAACAGACTTCTGGGACTTGTCCTTGTTTCAGGCCATCAGTTATATCCCCACTGACGGGCAGTGGACATGAAAGCATTACACTCGTTGCCTGTCCTACAACGATCAACTAAACCACTAATTACTATCTGTGTGGGTATATAACTGTACAATTCCGTTAACTAATACTGCATTTGGTTTTTGCAAAAGGACCTATTTAAAGTACATTAGATGAATGCCTTTGTATTATTTCCTGAGTTTTAGGGATCTGAAGATATGTCTACAGAAGCTGTGTGGCAGAGGACAGGAGACTGGCAAGGAGATAGGGATAATATGAGCCAACAAATGCTTTGATCTCTTCAGGCAGTGTGTTCCTTATTTGAAAACTATTGGTTAGGAACAAGAATGACTGGTGTCCTACTTTCTTCACACTTTGAGATTTTAACAAAGGTTTGTTGTTGTTGTTTTGTTTTTAATATGTGTGAGTGCCTGCCTGCATGTATGTCTGTGTTGTCCGTGTACCACATGTGTACAGTACCTGCAAAGGCCAGAACAGAGCACTGGATTCTCTGGGACTGCAGTTACAGTGAGCTACCATGCAGGTTAGGGAAATCAAACCAGGGGAGAGCAGCTAGCGTTAACTGGTGAGTCTTTGTTCCAGGCTCACCTCCTTCCCTGGCCCCAGTACCTCAAGCACACTGTGCTGCTCCATGCCAACCTGTTTGTTTGCTTTAAATGCTCTTTAAAGGACCCAGACCATTCAAGCTTCTGCACCTTAACCCTTCTTTCTTAACCCTGATGTAGACTTGAACATTTCTTCTTTACTATTGATTTTCATTTCTTCATTATAGGAATTATCACAAATGTTTTTCACTTATTCACATTGCATCATTACTATAAACA